TTCCAATCTTGCCCTTCACATAACAACAAAGAAGGGGGTAAAGGGAAAATGGGACTATTGTCATCAAGATTTAGTGTGAGGAAAAGATAAGATAATTTTACTCTTTCAATTTTTATGCCTACTACATCCAATCATAACAAAAATAAAAAATTAAAATAAAATTCTTCAGCTACAAAGTACATCATTATAACACAAGCCCATCTTCGTGCTCACAAGTGCTCAACCAAAACCAAAAGCACGTGACCATAACATATGATTAACCATCACCAGTGTTTTCAATCAGAAGTTGTTAATTGACAATTTGGGTTGTCATGTATACATTGGTGTGTAAAACATATGAAATATAACACCATCAAAACATACATTCAGTTGCAGTTCCATATAAATTAACCATCTGAGCTAAAAACAAAATCAGTTATATCTATTTGAAACTAAATTTTGTATTCCTATGAGTTGAATGTTTAAGCTAAAAAAAATCAGTTGCATGCATCTTGAAGAAGACAAAAAAAAGAAAAAAAGAAAAAAAGGAGGGGGAACCTTGAGCCTACAATGTTAAATGACCTATATGATGGAATGCGTTACCTTACAAAGCCATTGTTATCAATATCCGCAGCAAGAAATTCTGAGATAGTCATATCCTGACCAAGTACCCATTTAGCCATGCTCCTATGCCGTTTGTCCACTCTAGCCTCAGCCAAATACAGAAATGCTCGAGCAACAGCAAGGGTAGACACAAGCAACCATATAGCAGCAAAGATTCGACCAGGCATTGTCTTAAATGCTCTATCACCATAACCAACTGTTGTAACTGACATGACTGAAAGGTAGAAAGCATCCAACCAGCCAAGTTTCTCAACAAAATGCATAACTCCAACACCAATTCCAATGCAAAGAACCACAACACCTAACGCCAATCCCACCTTCATTCTTATCCTCATCCTTCCTTTCTTCACATCAACTATATATGATTTGGGATGCTTTTTACCAGCTTCATCCTTAACAGTTTTCAACAAATAATTCTCTTGCAAATCAAGCATATAGCTTACCATCCCACTAAGCAGTATATCAATAAACCCAAAACCAACCAACACAAACAGTATAGAAAACAACTTTGTAGCAGCACTGTTAGGGGTTATATCACCATATCCAATCGTGCACATTGTCACAATACAAAAATACAATGCATCAACAACAGGGTGTGTCTCATTACCCAAGAATTTATTACGATTACACCAGTATATAATCACACCCAGTGACAAATATACGACCAGAAGAACAAAAGCTTGTCTTACAATTGATTGTGAACCAAATTCAGGCTTGGGAATTGCAGGGTGACCGGTCAATTCATTAATCACAGCCATGGCAGGCGCGGTTTTCGACCTGTGAAGATTACTCTTGGTCCATTTGCAATTCGGGTCGACTAACCAAGAACTCTGAGGCGAACTCTGCAATTGGGTTTGCTGTTGTTGCTGCAGAAGTGGGTCTTCAATATTAATCAATTTTTCCTGAGAAGAGGAACAAGACGGTCTAGGTGAATTAAGAGACAGTGTCAAGGCATCAAGAAGGGGAGATGGAGGTGATTCTTCGGTTGGAGAAAAAGAAGCGCCAAAAATGATCCTTTCCTTCAACGCCGGTGATGAGGCTATTGGAATATGACGAGAAATTTCATCATTCTCCGGAAGTGGAAACAACAACGGAGGTGGCGGAGTTAGTTTCTTCCTGGGGCTAAAATACGAAATCAGAGGTTCATCCATGGGGTTCTGGTAAAAACCCAGAAGCCAGAATTCAAATGGGTATTTGGGTCGGTTGCCGGAGAGCAAGACAAAGTGGGCACGGAGAGAAAAGAACCGAACTTTTTTCGAGTCCCATGATTCAAGAGGAAGTACCGTCCGTATATGCAAAAAGAAAGCGCGTGGATTCAGAGGAAACGGAAGAGAGAGTGGGATTGGTGGAGTTTGATTCGGTCCATTGAAAATCGAATCCCTTCAATTGCTTGTCTTACATAAATTTTATGTATTTTAATCTACAAATTTTATGTTATTATAATAGTTTGGCTAAATTAAGATTCAAAGAAAAGATTTTATCATAAGAAAAAAATTTAAAGTAGAGACAGCAAGAATGAGATTCTATTTACTTTAAATCAATTACAATAATAATATGAATTTCATTAAAGATGATAACAAAACCTTATTAGATCAAAGAGTGGATCCCTATCCTTGTGGAGAATTTAATGGAGGGAGAATTTGCCCCATCCCCATTACCATGAAGGTCTCCATGGCAATTTTCTAGTTCCCAATCAATTTATATTAAAAAGTTAATTTAAATAGTTAGGTTAAAGTTAAAAAAAAAAAGTATTAGGTTGGATTTGGTTTTAAAGTAATTGATTTTGGTATTGGGCTAAAATGAAAAATGAGTTATAGGTATGACTTAAAATTATGAATTAAATACTTAAATTGTGTTAAATTTAATAAATTTTTTATTACTTTTCTAATATTTCACAGAGGACGAGAAGTTTGCAAGGATTTGTGAAGCAAAGAAAATTTCTTACAAAATTTTATGATGGAAAATGCTCCCCGTCCTTGCCTTTGTTCCTACCCTATCCTGGTGACTCAAATAGATGGATTTGTCATCCCTAAATTTTATAGGTTAAAAATACACAAAATATAAATTAAATGACTAATAATCTCAAAAACAAATAGTTAAAGGGCTTTCAAGGGTTATGCCTCTATTGTTATGGAATTTTGGGGTATGGTCATGGTCATGGTCATGGTCATGGAGACGTCACGGTAGGTTCATCAAAGTTACAAGATGTGGTTGCCCAGAGGAATATGCTGCATTGACACGCGCTGGTGATTAGCGCGTCGGAAAACTTTTCTTTTGGAAAATCAGAAAATTTAACCAATAAGGAAACAGTTGATCGAGATCCCTTGCCCCGATTAAGAATTCGGAAAAAGTTTGCTTCCTAAAGGGTGCATTTTCATGCTTTCTAAACGGTGCATACTTGTGGGAGGAAAAAACAATCTGGGACCAAAGCTCTTAAATTTATTCTAAATTGACACACGAGACTTTGAATTAAAAATTAAAATATTATAATTATAATTTTATATAATAATTTAAAATTAAAATATAATATATTACATAATTGATTCTTTTCATTCAAAAATTTATTTATGATATTACATGTATTCATTTATGTAATAATATATTATACTCATTTAATAACAAATTATATAATTTTATAAGATATTATCAATTAAAAATAGTGTAAAGAAATTCTTATACTGCTGCAATGATGCAAAATAACCTTCAAACCTCTCCAAAGACATAGATCAACCCTCATCATTAACAATTCAACACATGTAACCTCACGCTGTTTGTAATTTTTAAGCACTCGGTCTTACTTTTCCACATGAATGTTATTGTAGATCAAAGGATCCCTTAGGCAATGAAACCTCACCAAAATAGTCCATATGGTCCCTCTTTTTATTTAGTATTCTTAATTCATGAGTATCATTTTAATTAGATTTTTACTGCTTTAAGTGGTCTTTTGATTTTTACTCTAAGTGAAAGAAAAATCAGATGGTATGTGGTTACATTAATTGGGTCATTAATGAGCAAGATTGATTTACATTTTTTGAGGAGTTGGAGAACTAATTTGCACATTCTAGGGGCTTAAAGACTTATTTACACCATTTTAGCTCAAGGACTCACGTGTATGCTGTGCTCCGGTAATGGCACACGAAGATTTGATGGGGTTACAAAAGATCTTTCCTTTACTAAATCACTAATTTATTGCATAAAACTGATTTTGACTTTCAAATTGAGTGAATAATGCTGTAATTTAATAAAATAAAGTAAAAGTTTATGTGATTCTAACAAATTTTTGTGCGGGCAGTTTGTGTTGCTAATATTCTTTTTTTTTAGATGTGGTAAAGTGTACTGAAGAATCCGTAATCAATTATAATGATACATAAATGAATTTTTCTTCATATAATCCAACTATACTTATTTTTAAGGGCATGCAAAAAATCAAAAATTTTGATATTAAAATTGACAAGATATCTAATTACAACTATTATTTAAGTGACACACAACTATTATTAAAGTAAAACTTTACTTAAATGATAATTGTGATTAAATATTTTAACTTTTACTTTGTATTGTTAATTAATTATTTTCTTATTTGACTTTTGTGTCATGATTTTTTTTTTTAGACTTTTGTGTCATGATTTTCATTTTCTTAAGTCCAGCCACTATTAAGAATGGCTACCGGCTATCTGATAAAACTCGAGGAGAAAACTCATCAAAGAGGCCATTATTATCTGTCCCCATCCCTTTCCTCAACTCCCTTCTTTTTTCCTTTTTCTTTTTTTCAGAAAAACACCACCACTAGCTTGTAGGTGTGGTTGTACCCAGAAAGTATATACTTCCTGTATTTCAATTTAATTGACAGATGCCCTCCCCTCATTACCAAAAATTCCATTAACTGAGGGGTTTGTCACACAGGTTAAGAAATTCATCTTTAATGGAGGGTAAATTTGAACAAAAAAAGAAAAGATGCCTTAAATTGTAAGAATGTCGACTAGTTATATTCAACACCAGGAAAAAATAAATAAATAAATTGAGGTAGGGGGTGGCATGAGAATTAATATTCTACCACATCTAAAGAGATGACTCAATTTATTAAGAATTTTAAATTTTAAATTAGATATTTTAAATTTAAATTTAAGTTAAATAAAGAGGAATTTGAGGGAAAAAACTATTTTTTTATATAATCCATTAATCATTAGATGTAGTTAAAAAAAAAAAAAAAAAAAAAAGACACTAAAGATATCCTATCTTAAATTCAATAAAGTAAATGCGTGGGGAATCTTCTTTCTCAAAGCCAAAAAGAAAATTCCTACTATTGTCGGGTGATGCCCTAATGGTAAGAGTTAAATGGTGTGACATCTTGATTATGACTTTAAATCCAATTAGTAGTTTTAATTTCTTATTTTTTAAATATAGTTGTAATTTAATTACTTTATTAAAAAAAAAACCCCAAAAAGAAAATGGTTGCATAAGATTTAGAAAAACGGATTAATTGCAAAATTTGGACTCTCCCATAAAGTCTAAAGTCCAGCTAATTTTTCATATTTTGAGAAATCAATTATAATTTATTATATTTACGAAAAATCAATTGCACCATGCCATTAGCATATCTACCATCATCACTTAGTACAAGTGATAACTACTCAAAAGTATGATTTATTAATAAACAATTATCATTTTAATATTTTGCATGTCGACTATGTCTTCTGCACTTAACAAAAATTAATTTCATTGATAAACAAATACTTTTAAGACTATTAAAAAAAATAAATATGAATATATATAAAAACTAACTCAAAAACATCTTACTATAAATATAAAGTTAAACCCCTAATTTGATCCCTCAATTATTATACAGACCTTAATTTGATCCTACCATTTACTAATTTAGTGTTAAAAAAAATTGACATATCTGTTATTTAACAGTAAAAAACCATTGCTTAACTACATGTGTCATGTTCATAACAAGACACATCATTTGCCTTTGAACGGAAAGATCAACTTAGTGCCAAATTAGTAAATAGTAAGGATCACATAAGGGGTTTTTTTAGTTCGGAGATCAAATCAAGGATCTGTACAATAGTTGAAGGACCAAATTAGAGATTTAACCTAAATATAAAAATATAAAATAAAATAAAATAAAACAAAATAAAATAAAATAAAAAAGAAAAAAAAGCGAGGACGAGATAAAAAATATCTAGCTAATGGGTCCATAACTTTAATGTGAATTAAGTGGTCCTACAACGACCTAATAATCGAAATTAGTGCAATCACATGTCGAATTCCTTTAAAATAAAAACCTTTTTCTCAGGGCAAGAAGACAAACTGGAAATCATAAACAAAGAGATACTATTTCCTAGTTTCAGCTTCAATATTGTTACACGATTACTTCAAGTGGTCACCCTCATATTCTGATTTATTACTCAAATAATTTGACTGTAGAATAGGGGAACAATAACATAGCACATAAGCAAAAGGTGTCAAGGGAATACAGTGGAGAAGATCACAAGTCATACAGCTGACAGAGTAATACCCATGACATACAACCAGTAAAGAAGAGAAGTATAATAGATACCATAAAGGACAAGTTTCATATCTGAAATCTGATCTAATCATCGTCCTCAAGAACACTTCGACGCCGCTGGATCTGTAAAATTAGGGCCAAATGTGTAAGAGAATCTTCAATCAAACTATCAAAATGGTATGCAAGCATATGCAGAGCATTGAAATGGCAATAGGACTTACTGTGACTTTGGTTTGTTTGGTTGTTTGGGTGTTTATCTGCTCTAGCAGTGATATAAGCTTTTCTTCAGAAACCTACAAATTGTAAAAACTTAACAAGTCCTTATCAGGCCAGCCACAGATTACATGTGTACAAAATTAGCACCCCACAATACTAGAATGCTTAAAAGCACAATGAGACAGAGTAACATGTCCCTATACCTTTTCAGCTATCTGACCCATCTGAGCAGCCCTGAGTATGACATCCTCAACACCCCTTGCTTTCTCAGGTTTAACCAAAGCAATTCGAGCAACTGAAATAATGTTTAGCACCAGAGATAAGAAACATTAAATATTAGTGATACAAAAGGTAATTTGCACTACTCATGCAAGATATTTACCATCCCAAACTCAATAGCATGCACATCCTTTTAAACCCCAACCAAACAAGCGCCCAATTGTACATTTTTTAGGTTTCTTAATAATCAGAACTTGAATTATATCAACATGTGATGCCATGATGCCATAATAATACATAGAGATAACAAGCATATATTTTGAGGAGAAAACAAATGATTAAATAAGATGATTGTCAATACAGAATCTTAAATTTAGATGAAAACTTTAACATACGTCTTTCCCGTGCTTCAGAAGACAAAACCTGACTGAGCATCATCTGCCTCTGTTCTTCTGCCTCCCTGAATTAATCATTTCTTTAGTCAAACCAAAAATTTACTTCAAAAGTAAATGAATAAAACAGTTTAGAAAACCAACCTCTTAGCCTCTTCCTGAGCGTTTTGTTGTTCAGAGTTTTGTTGACTCCCCTGAATATATCATAATTGGAATTATAAATAATTTAAAGCACAAACAAGCCAATCCTAATCCTTTAATAAGGTGAATATAAACTCAACGAGGTAATTAATTACCATTCCATGTTGAGCCATTAGCTCTTGCATCCTTCTTTTTCTAATTGCTTCAAGTTCAGGATCAGCCTACAAAAGAACCCAAAATAGAACCTCAGCCAAAAGCTTTTGGAAAGGGCCAAAAGCAAGCAGATGGTATATCACCATACAATGGACTTTATTCACTGAAACCACTCCAACAGCATCCTTCCCCAGCTACCACACTAAACTTTATTTTTGGGGAACCAGAAAAAAAAAAAAAAGAACTCTAGCTTGCCATTTCAAAATCTAGGCATAACTCCTTGGGAAACCATAAATGGAACACAACAAAGCTTACAATTAGTAAGGACAAGGTCTAGCAAAGTAACAAAATTAGGGGAGAGTATGCATTTAAGAATACGAGGATAAAAGTGCATCTTCAATATGAACTTACAGGATTATCAACATTTCATCTCACAACCACCTACTGATAACAATTGAAAACAAATCATACTCACTATTAACCACCCTGTAATGTAGGCCATTGCACACAATTAGCAGCAGTGCTCTTACATCATACACTGCCCACTGGCAGCACAAATATATTGCACAGAAAAGCACACGCTGCCAATTAATAAATGCTAGTTAAAAGACAGAAGAAACATATGCCTATAAATCTTGTAAAGTGACACCATAAGAGATCATCCCAAACACGCTTGAAGGAGACACCTTTGCTCACTTGTTGTACTGAATTCAGCTAGCAAAATCATACGTGTCATCATTAATCATAAAACAATCAACCTAAAGCTATAAATGCAAAGAATTCATCCAAATAGTGAAAGAAAAAAACAAAGTAAAATTCACTCAATAGATTCATAAGGAGATATAGTTATAAAAAAAAAAAAAAAATTCAAGACAAACGGATTTAAAGTAATGGGTTCTCATAAATTAGTGAAAGTAAAATAATTGAACATAAGGAATGGAAAATAAAAGGGAAAACTGAATTCATATGAGCAAACCCTAATGAGTGTTTGGATGCTGAGAAAACTGCAGTTTAAGAAAGGAAAGGGTGCAAAAATCTAAAGCAGAGAACGCCAAGATCGTACCATTGATTGAAGAGTGTGCGATCTCCTTCTCCGAAAAGCAAAATCAGTGCTTTCTTCACAGAAGTCGGAGGGGTTAGGAAGTCGTGAAAGGGACTACAGTAAGCTCAGCGTCTGCAAGACGCGATCTGTTATTTGCATTTCCACCAGGTCTTTTCACTGGGCCCGAGCCCAACAGTTTTTTGGGCTTATTAAGCACTATAACTTCTTCTTCTTTTTTGTCTTAATCTCATGTATCCGATAATCACATTATATCCCGATTAATTTGGAATCGAGTTGCGTTAGATCTCATTAGAAAGGAAATTCTTCCACCATTTATTTTTTCATTCACAAGATTCAAACTCGAGATTTTATTTAAGAAAAATCAAACTCCTTCCATACGGATTAGCAGGTCATTAGTAAGCATTAGAACTTAGTTCTAGTTGTCAATTTCATCCTTGAACTTCTTTTTGAGATAGGTAAGCCCTTTCACTATACCTTTTTATTTTTAACTAGAATTGTAGAAAAAAAATACTTAAATATCCTTAATAAATCAATACATAAAAAAGATTTATTAAAAATATTTAAAAATTTTCACAAGTGTCTTAACATTTAAAATGACAAAAAATCATAATTTTTATTTTTCTCGTTAAAGTATTACCTCTGGCTTATAAGATTGTGTTTTTATTATTCCTTTTTGCATTTGTCATGTCTATAATGACATTAATTATAAATTTATAATATTTTATGGTATTATAATTATATCTTTTTTGCTTTATTAATGATTTGTATAGTTAGCTTTCTCATTATAACAAAAGAGCTGTACTAGATTGTTTTTATCTTAAATTGCATAATAAGAAGTAATTTTCTCCTATGCTTTAATCTAACTTTACCTATATATTATGTAATTTAAATTCAAAATCTTTTATTTTTACAAAAAAAAATTATCACTAAACTATTTAAATTATAAACAAACAAAACTATAGTAGATCTTAAATCTTAATTAAAAATATATTGAAATAAATAATTACATTTTAAACTTCATAGAAGTATATGAGTTAATGGTAATTGGACAATGACCATATAAGTATATAACCTTGTTATTCAATACTAGTATTGTACTAATCTCCTTTAAGGCTTCTAGAAGTAAACAATATAAAATACCCATAATTTTAAAAATGGAAAACTCAAGTAGGTCCCAGATTCACGTGCCCTTCCTTATAAATCCATCTCTTATCTTCATTTCTTTAGTTAATTTAATAATATTTCTCAAATAAAAAAATAAAATAATATTTTATCTGAACCAAATCAATCTTTTATTTTCCTTTCTTTAGTTAATTTAATAATATTTTTCAAATAAAAAAATAAAATAATATTTTATCTTAACCAAATCTTCAGATTTGCATTGGCTTCAGCAAAGTGCTGCGCATGGTAATTACGACAAGCAAAAGTGTTACGGTTCTTTAAATTTTTAATATTATTTTTAAAAATATTAATTTTGTTTAATTTAAATATAAAAATATATTTTCTAATTATAATAACTAATTAGTATTAATTAATAAAATATTTAATATTTATTTAATAACAGATTTTAAAATTAATTCAGGCAATTAAAAAAATAAGATAATTTAAAAACTAACGTTTTAAAACAACATAGCTAAGTTTTTTTTAAAAATATTTGTGAACGTTTTTTTATTTTTTATAAAAAAAGATAGTTTTCTTTTTTTTTTTTAATTCTCCTCACATTTTACTCAAAATTTAAATTTTAAATTTTAAATTAACAATTAAACAACTCTCTTAAAGCAGATTTGTAAAGGTTTAAAACTTTAAAATTTCTTATTAAATATTTATTAATTTGAGGAAAAAAATTTAATAATTTTTAAATAAATTTTTAAATTTAAATATTATAAATAAAAATTATACACTAAAGGTTTAATACCTAATTTGGTCCCTAAACTTTCTTTTTGGAACTTAGTTCGTCCTTTAACTTCAAAAAAGACCCAAATCATCTTTAAACTTTATTTTTTTAGAACTCAAACGATCCTTCCGTCATGGAACTGCTTAGCTGGCACGTTAAGTCTCCACCAATTATCTCTTTCAATTTTTACAAGCTTACGTGGACAATACACCTCACCCAATTGATGACATGGCAATTTTCACCCTTCTAAATAAAATAAAACAATAAAAAAATTGGGCCACATTGTCTCCCTTTGTCAATGCAGAACAAATCTCCTTCTAGATTCACTCTCACTTTCCCTTTCCCCTTTCTTCTTCGAAACCCCTTTCCAGAAAACGAGAAAGCAATCGACGATGCTTGCAGATCAATCTCTGAACCCTTGATTCCTTCTTCTTTGACCCTTCAATCCTTTGTAACTCTTGATTCTTTCTTCTCCAAACCCTTGATTCCTTCTTCTTTGACCCCCTAAATCCCCTGCAACTCTTGATTCCTTATTCTTCGAACCCTAAATCCTCTACCCATTATGATTCCTTTTTTTTCAAACCCTAAATCATCTACATTTGTTATTCATTCTTCTTCCCTTGAACCCTAAATCCTCTGCTATTTGTCTTTTAGATGTTAGGTTTGTGAGAATCAGACCATGGAAGCTAGTGCATGGAGTCTGGGTGCAGATTAGTTTGAGAGTGGAAGCATGGCCTATTTATATATGTTTTTTTCCCATTACTCATCCATCTATTTTATATGAAAAGATGTTTGGTTTTTTCCGCAAAACATTTTCTCAGTATTGGAAGGTGGATCTAAAAGCTAGTTAAGTGTGGTACAATAGGACAAAGATGATTCCTTCTCCTAAATCACCACACCAACAACAATCCCTAACCGTTTCTTACCTCACTGACTCATGTGGGTTTTCCTTGGATAAAGCTATTTTTGCTTCAAAGTGGATTAACCTTAAGAACACCGAAGGACCAAATTCAGTTCTTATGCTTCTAAAAAGTTATGGTTTCACTAAATCTGACATTGCTACTTTGATCTCTAAGCACCCACGTTGTTTGATGGCTAACCCGGAGAAAACTCTTAGGCCCAAGATTGAGTTTTTTGAGTCTTTGGGCATTGTGGGAGAAAGCGTTCTCTATTCAAAAGAACGTATTCTCAAGAGTAGTTTAAGGAAGCAAATAATACCTTTTGTTGATTTCGTTAAAGGGAATTTTGGGACAGGTGAGAACATTGTGTGTTCTTTGAAAAGTGTCAGTACATGGAGTATTTTTTGGTGTAATCCTGATAAGGCTATGGTTCCTAATATATCCACATTGCGTGCACAAGCTATGCCAGAAGGCCATATTCAGACATTACTAGTGTGGCACCCTCGGGCATTTGCATGTAAACTTGATTTCTTCGAAGAGATGGTTCATGAAGTTAAAGCAATGGGCTTGGAACCAACAAAAAAGTCCTTCATTTATGCTCTTCATCCAAAGACAGCTATGAGCAAGGAAACTTGGGAAAAAAAGGAAGAGCTTTTGATGAGCTATGGTTGGTTGGAAGAGCAATTTCAATATGCATTTGTACTGTAGTTAGTTTTCATGCTTACCTCAGAAAAGAAGATCAAGAAAATGATGGATATCCTTTTAAACACTGCAGGTCTGAAGTCATCGGATGTAGCAAAGTGATGGATTTCCTTTTAATTGGTGGAGACTTAACATGCAAGTAAGCAATTCCATGACGAAAGGATCGTTTGGGTTCTGAAAAAATATAGTTTAAGGACGATTTAGATACTTTCTAAAGTTAAAGAACGAACTAAATTCCTAAAAAAAGTTTAAAGACCAAATTGGATCCTTTTGAAATTAAAGAATCAAACTAAGTTCCGAAAAAAAGTTTAAAGACCAAATTAATCATTAAACCTACACTAAAAAACTTACTATTACGAGATTCCGACAAGGACCCGATTTTGAATTATTTAAAATCGGGTTCGGTACCAAAAGAATTAAAGATTTCTTTATCTGGCAATAACTACACACAGCGGAACTTCTCAACCATTCTCAGATTCTCATGAGTTATGACCCCACAAAATTCTAGTCCTACGGTCCATAATTCCCAGATCTTAAAACCGCAAAAGGAACAACGTATGCCATCACAGAGAATCAAAACCCAACAGTGTAAATTCACTTCCTTTTTTGTCAACTAAAAAGCCAAAGAAAGTAGAAAAAACCACCGGAGAAGAAGCCGGAATCAATCAAGGTGATGGGTTTCACGATGGGCTTGAACCTCCTCCTCCTCATGGCTATGGTGGCCACCAACATCCTCTCCCTCTACCACCTCTCCTCCACCCTTGTATCCTCTAAGTCCCCTAGCCCCATTCACAGCCCCGTTCCTGACCACCTCCTCCAACAGCTCCGTACTATACGCGCCACTATCAACCACCTCACGCGCCACCAGCCTTCCTCCGACACTGCTAGCACCACTGGAGGAAAACCCTCCAGTTCTGCCGTCCCACAAGATCTCCTCCTCTACTCCCATCTCTCCTCCATTGCTTCCTCTTGCCACAACCACCCTGACCTTCTTCATAAGTACATGAGCTACACTCCTTTCTCAATTTGCCCACATGATCCCGAGCTTCAGGAGACCCTGATACTGAATGGCTGCCATCCACTCCCTCGCCGGCGGTGCTTCTCCAAAACCCCTTCTAAACCCCCTTCTCCCATTCCCCTCCACCCCTTTCCGACTTCTCTCCCTGATTCCGGCGTTATCTGGAGCAAATACGCCTGTAAATCCTTCGCCTGTCTTTCAGAGAAACAACCAGGGTTTGATCTCAAAAAACAACGGCAGACCCTGGTGACTTTCTCTTCTGAACTCGATCTTCCCATTCCTCAGTTCATTCAAATAGCCAAGTCGGCGAATTCAGTGATTAGGCTTGGCATTGATATCGGCGGTGGGACTGGAACCTTCGCTGCGGTAATGAAAGAGCTCTACAATATGACGGTGCTCACCACAACGATGAACATTAATGCGCCGTACAATGAGGCGGTGGCTTTGAGGGGGTTGGTGCCATTGCATGTTCCGTTGCAGCAGAGGTTGCCGGTGTTCGATGGGGTGCTCGATCTGGTCCGCTGTGGACGGGCGGTGAACAGGTGGATACCCCTGGTGGTGATGGAATTCATGCTTTATGATATAGATAGAGTGTTGAGGGGAGGTGGGTACTTGTGGCTGGATCGGTTCTTTAGCAGAAGAGTGGATCTGGAGAAGGTATATGGGCCGATGATCGGAAAGTTGGGATACAAGAAAGTGAAGTGGGCAGTTGCAAATAAGACAGATTCCGGTGGATTGAAGCATGAGGAGGTTTATTTGACTGCTCTGCTCCAAAAGCCGACATCAAAATGAGGAGAAAGATCACTGATTTTTGAGGTAGTTAGCTCAATTTCTGTAACATGATGATTCTTTTGAGTGGAGACCACTAATATTAATTGCGTATTTATAGAAACATTGTTATAGTCATTGAAGTGAACTATAATCATTTGAATCCAATGTGCATCATGCGCTAAATCCAAGATTCATTTTTAGTAACTTTGAAATACCTTGCTCCACCTGAGAATTGGGAAAGATTATTGTCTTGCATAATACCAACATTTTTATAGGTAGAACTTGCAGTTAATCTAGTGTATAATCTTTCAAATTTTCATTAATCTCTTCACATTTGATCTAGATTTGTTTCCAAAGAGGCGAATTTATTCAAGCATTTAGGGAAGTCTTCCGCAAACCAAGTCTATGCCAATAGTCCAATAAGAAGTTTGCAGTGTAGATCAAATTGTTTTCACATTGTTACTTGGTCTTTTG